TATTATTAAATTGCTTACTTTGACAACAACAATGGTCTTTGTCCACAACCAACACAACCCGCCCACCCGGTCCATTGCGGAAATACATAGTTTTTCTCGTGGACTGGCTGGAGATAAGTTGGTCCGATCGCGTGCCCCATGGTGCGGTCTATAGCAGCGGCAGTTAATGTAAGGCAGGCTATGTATCAGTACTAGAGCTAAGCGCCTAACCATAACCTAAACCTATTTATATTTATATAAAATATTATATTTATATTGGAGCTGTAAATGACATTCGGTTTTATTAGGGAACCCATGTTCTTATCTTTGGAACCGAAACATGGTGACTCAACTCTACTATTAGCAAACATTTTAACGAATTTCGCGTAGTACATAAAATTTCGTTATCCATTTAGGCAAGTGATGTAGTTGACCCGACGTCAGGCCCGCCAGGTGAGAACATCTCGATTCGCGTACTCGATCTCGATTCAGATATAAATTTCTTCACTTGCCGCGACACGACGGGTCGGTTTTTTCCTCGGTGGCCAGCACCTTTTTCATTACACTCGGTACCGACGGTCGCGCGCAACGCCATTTCCATCGACGTCCGGTACCGTCGCATTACGGTCAGTGCGCCGCAAACGGCCATTTCCATCACTCGCGGGTACCCCGACGGCTCCGTGCGCCCGCAAGTGCGACAATGCGATTTTCATCACTCTCTACCCGGCGGTCGTGCGCACAATGCGATTTTCATCACTCGGTACCCGACGGTCGTGCGCGCAATGCGATTTTTCATCACTCGGTACACGACGGTCGGGTAAATAATACCTTCCATTTATTTATCATTGTATTTTATTGAAACGCTTCAAGTGCCTGTGAGTACAGTCAGGCTACAGCCTACGGCATTTCGGCCATTTCAAAACACTGGCTGCGTGATCAACTAGTATAGGGGGGCCTAGTTCAAGTAGTTGAAGTACGCCCCCACAACTCGTAGTCGTACACTCACAACTCTTACCAGTTGTCAGTCGGCTGAGTAGTCAGTATACACTGATACTGTGACTGTACAACACAGTGTAGGACACATGATTATGATACAACATCATACATGATACAGTGCATATATTAAATCCCTAATTTAAGTACTTAGAATATGTTTATATCTAGTACAGTCAGGCTACAGCCTACGGCATTTTGGCCCTTTCAAAACACTGGCTGCTGGATCAAGTAGTTGAAGTACGCCCCCACAACTCGTACACTACATGCCGCACATAATATAATATGAAATATAACGCTAACAGTGTCGGGCAAATGAATATTCTCACAGCGACGAGTGTTGCAATTGCTGTGCTGCATTGCAGTGCTGTGAAGCCATTGTAGGGGTTCAGTGAACTGAAAAATAAAGGGAAAAGTGTACAAGTTCTCAAATATATATCACATAGGATAAACATTTAGTAGCATTTAAAAAAGAAAAGAAAAAAAAGGCTCATATGCGTATATGTCATCCATGATATCTATGTATGGCACAAAACGTGTTAATCATTGCCATGTAACAGAATATAATAAAATAATAAATACTGTATGCAAATAAACCACCACATCATTCAAATTATGAGTCAACGAATATGTTGTACATTTGAACGAAACAAAATAGAAAGTTGTTGGTAGCATGATAGTGAGAAGGTGACCACCATTGCCGATGGCCATTAGCAACAAAAATAGCTCAGAAAATGTATATTTTAGCAATAATCACAGTGTCAGTTAAACCTCCCCACAGTTACAGAAAACTTACATACTTAACTAATTTCTGGCTGTTCGCACACACGTGCCAACCCAAAGGGCAGTACCGTCTGCACCAGAAAGGCCCCCTTCCACCTCCCCCACAGTTACACAAGGCTGATACACTTAATGAAGTTATGTCAGTTAAACCTCCCTTAAATTAATGTATAAAAGATTTAAATATGACAAAGAAAATGTAGGTCAATTGGTTGAAGGCGTTGTTGGTGTTAGCTGTCCTGAATTGGGATGAACCTGTAAATATATACGTATGCAAGTATCAGTTTGACGTAAGCAATGAATATGAACAATTGCTTAAAAACGTGCTAAGAGTTTTAACTTTTATGGCAGTTGCTACGATAACAAAAACCATTATCCTTGATACAATATTAGAAATTTATATCCTTCTTAATTAAATCCAGCTATTACAGTGCAAGAGTAGTTTATATTGTTCATATACAACTTCATTTTACTTGTTTCTTTATTCGAGGTCCAGTGCAGGTATAATAGTGCTTGCCTCAGAGCCATGCTAAAAATGCTGTAGAGGGGACTAATAATAAAACAAGGAAAGACCACCTGGCTGGTTGGCTTGATGTCGGGCTTGCTTCCTCAGCTATGGTACTGTGGCCACCCCTAGAGCCTCTGAAAAGAGA